CCTGGGGAGAGGAAGAGTGGGTCAGAGAGCACCTAAAGTAACTCGACACCCACAAATCCATGGGYCCTGATGGGATGCAYCCCAGAGTGTTGCRGGAAYTGGTGGATGTCACAGCCAAGCTGCTCGCTGTTGTCTTCGGAAGGTCCTGGAGAACGGGGGAGGTGCCGGAGGACTGGAAGAAAGCCAACGTCACTCTGGTCTTCAAAAAGGGCAAGAAGGAGGACCCGGGCAACTACAAGCCAGTGAGCCTCACCTCCATCCCCGGAAAAGTGATGGAACMGCTCATCCCGGCTGCTGTCTCCAGACATGTGGAGGAGGAGAAGGTGCTCAGGAGTAGCCAGCATGGATTCACCAAGGGGAAATCATGTTTGACTAATCTGAGCGCCTTCTATGAAGGAGTGACTAGCTGGACAGATGAGGGCAGAGTGGTGGATGTCATGTATCTGGACTTCAGCAAGGCTTTTGACACCGTCCCTCACAGCATCCTCCTGGGCAAGCTCCGAAGGTGCGGGATAGATGAATGGACGGGGAGGTGGATTAGGAATTGGCTCGATGGCAGGGTGCAGAGAGTGGTAGTCAGTGGCGCGGAGTCCAGCTGGAGGCCTGTAGTTAGTGGTGTCCCCCAGGGGTCAGTCCTTGGTCCGSTCCTGTTCCACTTCTTCATTAACAACCTGGATGAAGGCATGGAGTGCYCCCTCAGCAACTTTGCTGATGATACCAAACTGGAAGGAGTAGCTGATAGCCCTGAGGGCTGCGCTGCCATCCAGAGGGWCCTGGACAGACTGGACGACTCATGAAGTTCAACAAGGGCAAGTGCAGGGTCCTGCACTTGGGGAGGAATAACTCCGGACACCAGTACAGATTAGGGGTGGACCTGCTGGAGAGCAGCCCTGCAGAGAGGGACCTAGGTGTGTCAAGGTTGGATGACAAGATGACCATGAGGCAGCAGTGTGCCCTGGTGGCCAAGAAGGCCAACAGGATCCTGAGGTGCATTAAGAAGAGCATCTCCAGCAGGTCGAGGGAGGTGATCGTCCCCCTATACACAGCCCTGGTGAGGCCACATGTGGAGTACTGTGTCCAGTTCTGGGCTCCCCAGTACAAGAGGGATGCGGAGCTGCTGGAGAGAGTCCAACGCAGAGCTATGAGGATGATCAGGGGCCTGGAACATCTGCCCTATGAGCAAAGGCTGAGGGAGCTGGGCCTGTTCAGCCTGGAGAAGAGGAGGCTGAGGGGGGACCTGATCAGTGTCTATAAATACCTCAAGGGAGGCAGTGAGGAGGAGGGGGGCGGCCTCTTTTCAGTGGTGGCCAGCAAAGGGACTAGAGGAAAGGGCCACAAGCTGAGGCACCAAAAGTTCCACGGGAACTTGAGAAAACACTTTTTGACAGTGAGGGTGACAGAGCCCTGGCACAGGCTGCCCAGAGAGGTTGTGGAGTCTCCTTCTTTGGAGGTCTTTAAAACCGCTTGGACGCAGCCCTGTGCCACGTGCTCTAGGTGACCCTGCGTGAGCAGGGGGGTTGGACTAGATGACCTCTGAGGTCCCTTCCAACCTTAAGCATTCTGTGATTCTATGTACTGGACTTTAAACAGAATTATGGTATATAATTATATATACACAATTATATTGTGTATAAGCTCATATCTGCGTACTCTATAAGCTTTGATCTAGAATGTTGAATTCAGTCTCCCTCATACTTGTCATATTATAAGCTAGACTAAATTGCTTACAATTTGTGAATTCATGTAATTCATAAAAATTAAAGGGAGACAACCTCAGCTATGACCACACTGATTTCTCCTTTTACTTTTCCATGACTGCAGGGCTAATATTCCCTATCCTGAATGCAGGAACTCAAATATTTTATTATTTCATGAGAAACTGGGGATGCCATGCTAAAGAGAGCCCCTACATTACAAACTCCAACAATTCCAGAACCTAAAGCACGAGGCTTCACTAAACCTTTAATCCATTCAAAAGGACAAATATTAGTTAAATATGCCTCATGCATAGTAATTTAGCCTCAGAGGTTGATAACAGAAAGCCTCACAGCCAGCATGCCCTAGGCATGGTTCCCTCATTAGCCACTTGAAATATTATCTGGAGTAGTTAGTGTATGGGGCTAAAAGTACCTCTCCTGTTGTCCAGCATAACTGGTGCTTAAAAAGAGAAACTGGAAACAKGGGGGACACGGGGAAGGGAAAAAAATCAACATTCAGAAGAAAAGCAGAAGCTGCAGACAGGGATCCCTATTGCCCATGATCCATCAGCCACAAGACAAAGCTACCTGTATGCACAGAGCAGCATGGAGGACCTGCCGAGACAACCTGTATTTTTGCACTTCYAGCGTCGGACTCCTCTGTTACTCCTCATTTTCTACACCTTGGCAGAAACAATCCTCCACAGAGATCAAGAAATGGCTAAACAGTTGTCAATTTATACAAACAATTTAAACTACTGAAAATAGTAATTTTCAGATATGCTGCAGGCTACATCAAAGCACACAGAGCATTCTGTCATGACAGGATTTCTCACCTTGCATCGCCTTGCCATAGTTAAGCATGGAAATGCTGCGTTATCCAGTCTGGATAAAAAGGAAACTTAAAACTGAGATGTGTAAACATTTTTTTTTTTTTTTTTTTACTTTTAGGTTAAAGCATCGAGCCTGCACTTGACACAAATAACCTTAAGCACTTACATTTCTATAGCAAAAGTTCAGTTTCTGTTTGTTTGCCTGTCATATTTTCCTCTTTATTCATTTTGGGTTGACAGCATATCACCAGTATTAAGTTTCAATTTCTCCTGGATCACTGACTTGTTTTCACACATCCTGAACAAAGGGAACTACCCAGCAAATGATTACAGCYGAAACCAACAGCATACAGACATATAAACTTATAGAAAACAAAACCAAGAACAAAAACAACAACAAAAAAGACAGAGATTGGTTCTATCTGATGCTGCTCCTRAGTCTCCTCAAGTGACCCTTCCACACATGCACCAGGAGCACATTTAGTCTTTTCCTTAACGTCCATTTTCAGTAGCTCTTCAGTATCCAGGTCTGAAATGCACTTTGTTCACAGCCATCTGCAGCAAGAGAAGATTGATAAAGCAAACTACTCTAAGCAAGGGAACAGGGGAAGATCACAGGGTGCTCTGACCTGCCAAGCAGCCTGTCACAGGAGTGCTACTGTGCAATTTCTGCCTCCTTGTTTTGCACATAAATTTCTGGCTATTAMGTTTATTCAGGCTAGAAGCTATCTAGAATGACAGAACTTGAAATAAGCACATAGATCTTGCCTTTTTATTTGAATTTAAAGGTCAACTCTTTAAAAGCAAAAATGGAAGCTCTGGAATGCACTGACACTACAGGATGGCATAGAAAAAAACCYGTTTAGAACAGACACTGCTACACAGCAGGAAACTCTGTACTTTGCACACTATGTTTTTATGTAGGTCCATGTAGGTATATTCATGAAATTCTYACATTATTACCTCCATTTTTGCTTGCCTGACGCATAACCTGCCCTCTTACCCTAACCTGCCCTACAGTCAGCAATTAAAACAAACAAAAAAGTTTGGATGGAGAGTTTTTTTGCTGTTTGCCCGCAGTTAACTAAGCCCTAACSCTTCAGGTAATAAGTAAGCAACCAAAACAGATGTACCATTCAAAGAAAGGCTGATTTAATGCTGAAGTCCCAGGCAGAAGGAGATTTAAAAAAGGAAAGTATAACACACACCATAAGCAGATTTATTTTCCTAAGTTTTCCACTGAGGCTTTGGCAGCATTTTAATGTAAGCAGAAAAGAACACTGAAAAAAATCTGGCTTAATAATAAGAAAGCCATGAGATAATAACAGAAAATACAAAACGACAGAAAGAACAATTTAAAAAATAATTGGACTACGGTTGCATTTTCGTCAGGTATATTAACTCTAATCTTAAAGAACAGGAATTAAAATATAAGTTCAGATATTCCAAAACAGTGTATTAGGACTTTGAGTACTATAAGGAACATTTGGTCCATTGACAAACATGGACATGATATATGTTACACTCTAGTTATTGCACTAACTGATGAGTTCCTTCCAGTTATGCTAGTGACAACAGCAATGCACATGCAGAACTGCTGCCAATGCAGCACAGCTCAGAAGACACAAATTCTCACTCAACAAAAATCTGCCCAAATTTGGTAAACTTGACACTATCTCAAAAAGAGATGGGAAACCCACAGGGCACATGAGCACATTGCCACAGAAACCTCCTTCTGTACACGAACCTCATTTCCATTGAGCTAGCCAGCCCTCATTTGTATCAGCAGAACCACTTGCAGGTACAGGGCCTRCATTTTCACTCATCATTAGAGAATTGTTTAAAAGCAAATAACCCAGTGACACACATATGGCTGGCTGCATTTTTCAGTAAGATGAGAAAAATCTTTTTCCTTTCCAGCTGACCCAAAAAACACTCATGCTATTTTGACGTTAAATTTGTTTAAAGCAACTTCGTCACAGCACTGGAGTTACTACCAGTTAATATCTGAGCTGGATCAAAAGACAAGAAGATTTTGTAACTTTTTAGCACCCTGGTATTTATTTTTATTTTGTAATTAAAGTAGGGAGTTTTTGGCAGCTATTTGCAGAATACAAGGACCACCACCATGGAGTTGCTTAATGTATCAGCAACAGCAATTGCCCCCAGGTGATGCCCCTGCTTTGGAACACACTCTAGAAGCCACATGGAAATTTCTCCAACGGGACAACCCCACGACAGCAGCCCCAGGGGGAAGGAAGGGACAGGCTCTGAGAGACGCTTCAGCTCTGGCAATTTGAGAACAGCTGGGGCATCTCCCTTCCTCTTTGGCGGCCAGTGGCTTTCTAAAAGCTAGGGRAAAGCAGCAGAAAAAGCCTAGGGGCGGCCCTGCACCTCCCCTGGTCGCGGCGCCCGCCGGGGCCTCGYCGGGCGGGGGGAACTCGGGGGGAACCGGCCCGGCGGCAGTTACCGGTGCTGGCCATAGAGCCACGTGCCGCCCCAGGACAGCAGGCACGCTCCCACCGCCGTTTTCTTCCAGTGGTTCCGCAGGGTCTTGAGCGCGCTGACCACCCTGGCCATGGCGCCAGCCGCCCCCTTCCCCTCCCTCACGCGGAGAACCGTTGGGCGGCGGCAACCGCCACGGGGCCGCCCGGCCGCCCGGCGCGCCCGGAAACGGCTCCCCCGGCACTCGCGTTCCGCGCAGCAACGGTCCCCCCGGCAAAAGCGGCACCCCAGGGGCGCCCTGTTAAAACACATGGTTGGGAGGGGGTCGAGGCGAGGCCGCGGTGTCTCCCACGGGTGCCRCTTGCCACACGTGGATGGTGTTTGGCCAGCCTGAGCCCCCCCGGGCCCATGCGATGCCCCCGTGGTGGTCCTTGTACGTCCCCAGAGAGCAGCCCAACTCCCTGGTTTGGTCTAGAATAAAATAAACATCTGAGGGATCCAGCTGGCGTTTCTGGGTGCTGGGATAGTGCAAGCTGAGAAGTATTACCAAGTATTATGCCAAAAAGAAAAAAAAAATGCTGCTTGGAAGAGTGCAGCCACTAGAAGCAAGAGCAGGCGACTCTCCGCATAGTAGTGGGCCGCAGTGAAGAGAAGAATTTGTCACACCATTACAAATGCCTGAGGTACAACAAGACTCCAGCAAATATTTCCGAAGGTTCAGCCAACTGACTAGGATGGAAGTTTGTGCAGGAAGGGCTTGGGTTTTGCTGCGTAAGCCCCGCCAACTTGGTGGCCTCAGGCATGAGGAGGAAAGTCTCCAAGTATCCAAGGAAAACTAACCGTCCTCGCAAGGATATCACGCTGGGAAAGCCAGAATGAATGTCCTGCAAGGGGAAGGCAAGGATATAACAAAGTGGCAAGACTTGGCTTCATAGTGGGAAAAGCTTTGGGACAATCCGGTGGTGACACTTCGTGCTAGCATTAGCGCCATGGCTTCCCAGATGGCTTCAAGATCCTCAGAGCTTTCAGAAAAGAGGAGCTGAACGGGAGGCACGTGTGACTGAGAGACCCTTCCTGKCCCTGTGGGAAAGACAGGCAGATGGTGGATGGTTCCAAACGAGCCGTTGGCTAAATAATGGTGCAAGGMAGCATTCTGCTTCCGTAGGCGCTGGCCCAGTTTTGACGGGAACAAGGGCTTACATGCTTGGTATGGCAAGGAAGCAGGCTGGAAGGGACCAGCTGGTCAGTGTAATGAACTTAAGGCTGGACAGACACATTTTTTCTCTGAGAACGTTTTGTCCCCTCCTTCACAATGCCATTTTCATCAAAATCCAAGCATTTACAAAAATGTCAAATGGAATAAAATGACTTTTAGGCAGCAACTTCCTCAACCCTTCTGCTTAATGATGTCAGAATTGGATGTGAGTAGTAACATAAGGGAGATGGCTGAGGCCAAACTTGGGAGTCTACATATGTGAAAGTCTGTTCCGTGAGAAATCAAGTTAATGTAGAAGGCAGTCCAGAAAACATTCTGTTATTAGTGATAAAGAAAACAGATTGAAACCTATGATTTCYCTACTTTTTTTCTCAAGTAAAAGATCTGGAAGTAGCTTTTCTAAGACAAAACATTAAAAGATCAACTACTGATGAATATTTCAGGCATACCCGTGTCCTTTTTTAATATTTGGGTTCATCTATACAGTGCMTCTCAACGTGTTAAGTGAATACACTTGATGGTCTGCTGAATCAAGGTTCCAGGTGGTRCAGAATGATTAAATGTCCTACTTTTTCTTTTGTGTTGTCCTATTTTTTTTGTGCGAATTCAGGTGGTGTGGCCAATGCTAAAAACAACAGCAAGAAAAGCTAGGACTCTCATCCTACTTTCCCTAGCTCATGAAAAAAAATGCATGCTGATATATGCATTTCAAATTCAATAATTCTCATGAGGTGCCACAAATAATTTACAAACATTGTAACTTCTTCCTTCTCAACTAACTCTACAGAGGACAGCYGTGTTTATTAAGACTGCTTCCAGAGCAAGTTTGAATTCTTTAAATAAAGTCTTCTTAGCATGTACRTGTTCAAAGTAGTCAGAAAAAAAATGAAGTATGAAGAGCCTGAATATCTTTAAGACAGCTGGATGGAAATTTACCTGAATTCATGTTCATGAAAACAATCTTGAGTGGGTATAAATGAGAAATTCTAGCCCAAATGTTCCTTGTTTTTCAGCATTCCTGGCAGTGTTCGGAATCAATCAGAATATTCATTTTTGTATATATTCAATATAATCCTGTGGTTATAGATCTCTTTATTTCTAGAGTGACTGCACATGGAAGGCCAGGTCTAGGATAGTATAAATCAGTTTACCTCAGTGGTAATGAGTGATGCTTCCCAATACTATAAAGACAAGGATGCAGTGGAGCAAGTCCAGCAAAGGGCCATTAAGATGATTTTGAAGCATCTGACATATGAGGAGAGAGCTGTGATTGCTTAGTGTGGAGAAGATAAGTCTCAGGGAGGATCTTACCAATGTGTATGAACATCTGATCCAGGAGGAAGTAAGGAAGATGGAACCAGACTTCTCAGCACAGCATCCAGTGAAAGGACKAGAGGCAATTGGCACAAATTGACAGACCAAATATGCAATTTTAACATAAGAAAAATAAATTTGATGGGAGGTGGTGAAGCACTGGAAAAGGTTTTTTAGAGAGGTTCTGACATCTCCATTTTTTGAGATATTGAAAAGATGACACAGCCTTGAGCAATCTGTTCTGGATGACCTTCCTCTAAGCATGCAGGTTGCACCAGAAGATTTCTTGAGGTGCCTTCTGACCTCAACAGCTCTCTGATTCTGTGACTTTAGCTGAAGATTTGGCCTTGGAATTTTGTCATAGTACTTTCAAAATGAACTGTTCACAAAAAAAAAAAAAACACACTGCAGGTGACAACAGATTGTGTACTTGTCTGATTATGTGGCTTTATTTATGATGCAGTGTCCATTTTGAAACCCCTTCCGGCAAACATTTATGTCCTGGTTTTTAGCTGTGGCCATCTGATCACCCTCAAGGTAGATAGCACCTTCTGTGCTTCTACATATATCAGGTACTTCCTTTTTATTTTTTCCTTTTTTTTTTGCATATCAAGTCAATAGAAGTGGACATTAGAGTAGGTACAATGCAGAATCAGAGGGTAAAGGGCTAATCTTGCACAACGTCTGGATTATGTACTGTAGTCMTTTTTTTTTTTAGGAACAAGCAAAACAATTATGGCCTTTTTTAAAAACTCTTCATAGGAGACTGAAATAAATATTTTCTTTTCTTATGCTTGCTAGATCGAATGTATAAAAGAAGCCAGCAATCAAAAAGCTGGCTCAGAAATCTAATACTTGAGTTGGGATGTGTCACCTGAAATTACCACACAAGATGTCTGTGAATACAGGTCAGTGCCTCATCTCAGTTACTTGTATCTGACCCATTTTTGAAGGGCAATTTTTTATCATTCTGTCTTCACCATCAATGCCAAGACTGTTAGCAGAAGAAGCCTTGGATACATGACCATGCCTCGGGGACTTATTTGTTTATAACTTAAGTAAACTTGCTTTACCAGCTGTCTATTTATTCAGTTCTTTTCTTAGCCAGAAAATGTGGGAGAAATGATAGAAAGTTAACTTCTCTTCACCATGGCAATGCCCCACAAATATACATACATAAATTTTGACAAGGACAGAGGATTACGTAGTTTCTTTTACTATCCATCATGATCTGTTCTGAGGTCCCCAACTCAGCTAACACATCTGGGTTGGCAATTTTCTGTCACAGACAGAAAATCTCTGGGCGTGGGACTGAACCTGTGTAATAATTTTACTAAAGTCACTAGTTTCATCGCTTGGTATGGAGTTTTGGGTGGGACCTCGCAAAAGTTCCAAGGAAATCATGAGCAGAAATCCCATTCACAGTCACCTCATAGTAGCAGCAGTGACTTTATTCAAAGTCAGAGTCTGAAGGCTAATTCCAACCAGACCTTCATTTCCTCCCCTGTCCCTGATCCCTGCCTGTTTCACCCTGGTCACTGTCCTGAGTGGGAGATTGGGAAGCAGGCAGCCACAGAACCTAATCAGAGGCAGTGCCTATCTGTGAGAGCAGAAAAGGTTCACGATGGATTCCCTTGCCCTCATTTCCAACTGTGCCCGAAGGTGTGAATCCCCAGGGTAGTCGTGTCTGCAGTCAGTGCCTGCTCCACTGGCTTGGAGAAAGATCTGAATTACGCTGTTGGTCGGATAACTCAGAGAACCTCTGCACAGGAATGATCTTGCCACTCCCTTCCCTACCAGACTCTTCCTGTGCTGTCCTTCAAGCCAACTATGATATAACCTTCACCCTTCCTAAAATGAAATTCAGGAATGTGCCTCGCATATTTTCAGAGAAAAAAAAAAWCACTGCCTTTACGCATTGCTCCTTCTTCCTATGGTTGAACTATTACACAGCAGTAGCTATTGATTCTCTGAATTTACTAACCCTCTTTCTGAGGGAATAAATGGAGATATTCACAGCTTTTGAACAACAGCAAAAATCCATTAAACTGCTCTGTGGCAATCTTGTCAGGAACTTGTTCCTTCAGCAGAGACACATTTCAGGAGGCTCTGCACTTTACTCCCAGCTTGTTTGGAGTCAGTAAACACAGTTGTTACTGAGRCATCGGGATGAGCAGCCCTGGATACTAAGCTTTAAATGTAGCAAGGTGAGAGGGGGAAACTTCTGTAAGCTTCTCTCAGAGCTGGCYAGAAATATTAACTGAGCTCCAGCCTCAGTTTACTCTCCCTCAGGCCTGCTCTGAATGAAAGGAACAAGGACAGGCCACTGGGGCTGGGATTGATCCATCCACCCAGTGAGCACAAAACGCTGCACAGAAAAATCCCTAGCAATTTCTTTGATAATATTAACCACCTTACACTGCACTTTTCATCAAAGGTCTCAGTGAGTGCTACAAAGAGAACATCAGTTCATCTCTGAACTGATGCTATTATTATGGTGCTGCTACATATTAAGGGACTGTTCTTGGAAAGTAGTTTAATACRGGGAGGGAGAGAGAAAGAGAGAGAGCAGCTGCACAATGCAGAAGTGCTCCTGGGAGCTGAATGGCTTTCTAAT